GGTGTGACCGGACGCTGGCAGTAGACTCCGGTTAGTTCATTTGATCAAGTGAAGTCGTCTGGATGCGACCGGATGCTGAGTGAAAAGTGACCGGACACTGGGTGCTAGAGTCTGGTTAACTGCAGTAAGGTTCCAGAGAGGGAGAATCCTGATCGGACGCGTCCGGTCAGTGCTGACCGGATGCTGGTCATGTTCCGGTTACTGACCGGACGCTGAACAGCAATGTAACCGAACGCTGGGTGCCAGAGTCTAGTCAACATCAGTAAGGGTCCATAGAGCAGTTTTTGTGACCAGACGCTGGTGAGAGTCCGATCACAACTTAACGGCTCTGTGGCGGGGAGAACTGACCAGAGCATTCGGTCACCTTGACCGGAGCGTCCGGTCACCCCGCACGGTGCTGACTCAAGCACATAACGATTCGTTTTGAATGAGGGGTTATAAATACTTCCTCTATTCATTCAAGGGAGTACTCTTGCCCATTTCAACAGCTGAGAAACACCCTTGAGAGTGCCAAGGAGAGCAAGAGCCTAGTGAGGTGATTGAGATTTGAGAATCCAAGATTAAGGCCTCATTAGTGAAAAGAGAGTAGCAAGTGTGCATCCACCCTTCTCATTAGGCTTCTTGTGGTCAAGTGAGAGTTCTTGCTTGTTACTCTTGGTGATCACCATCACCTAGACGGCTTGATGGTGATTGGGAGTTTGGTGATCATCTGGCGGAGCTTGTGGATGACCCAACTCAAGTTGTGAGCGGTTGTGGGTGATTCACCGTGACGGAGTGTCGAAGAATCAACCCGTAGAGAGCACTTGATCCTTGCGCGGATCAAGGGGGGAGCTACACCCTTGCGCGGGTGCTCCAACGAGGACTAGTGGGGAGTGGCGACTCTCTGATACCTCAGCAAAACATCGCCGCGTTCCTTCTCCTCTCTTTACTTTAAGCATTTATATTTGAGCAATTCAATTCTTGTCTTTATATTCTTAGAATTGCCATGCTAGAGTAGGATTGAAACTTAGGGTGCTAAACTTTTGTGCGGCAGATCAATAGAATCACTTTCTAGGCACAAGGGGTGAAGTGGGCTAAGTATAGGGTTTATTTATTGCAAATAATTTTAGAATTAGCCCAATTCACCCCCTCCCCTCTTGGGCATCTTGATCCTTTCAATCTTCTTTCTACCACCGAAGAATGAGGAAGACTGATCTGAAACTTATTCTCCCTAGTCCTTTATTGTGGCCAGATCTAACCAAAACAAAGCGGAGAAGAGACCAGGGAAAACTATTCCATAGCGGCGACATCATCTCTGCCTTGATGTCGCCCCGGAAAGAAAAGTCTCCATGTCACCATCCAATGAAGTTGCTGATACCGTAGTTGTCGCCCTCGTCTTCAGCAGAGCCGCCATGGAGAAAACGATTCCACCATGTCCCCTCGCCGTCGCCGGAGAGGAGGAGATAAATCCCCAATACAATACCAAGAAATTTGGCATGGAGAGACCCTAACCTTTATAACTCGATTTACTAGAAAAAGTTATTAAAAACGATGGATCACCACTCCCTCCGGCCTCCGGCGAGATGCCGAAGGGGAAGGGAGGGGGACCAGCACTGGTGGAAGGCGGGGCGGCGGCGCTAGGCAAGTCGCGAGTCGCGGTGGCCAGGTATTGTGCGAGCCGTGTGACTGTCTATGCGATTAGAATACTCGCGAGTATTCTAATGTGTACCAATCGAGAGCTCCCTACTCGTCTTATATACTCCGGGGTAGGGTTACATAGATGGTATTACTGATATATTTTCTAATTAGTTACATGGAAATAATAACACGCTATCATATCCTGTGTGAACAAAAAATATTTAAACGTAGAACGTATGAGGCATAATTTTTGTTTAAAAATCTAGACTGTTGAATCGTCAAAAAAATTAATGCGTATATATTTTTCAATAAATTTCATCTCATAATTTTTAACGTGTGATCTTTTTTAACATTATTGATTTATTGTGCTGCAGTCTTTACTTGCCTGTTCGACGCGCCAGAAATGCGCAAAACCAACAACGCAGCAGAGTCTTCCCATTTGCTGCGCGCGATACAAGCAAGGGGGATGAAGATCTCCATTCGATCGCCACCGGGAACAAAGTACATATGATGATACAGTGCATTATTGATACGATCCATAGTGGGCCCTCAACTTGTTCGATCTCGCGGAACTTATTCCACGGGCAGGAAAGGGTGATCGAGAGCGGCCGTGGGGTGCGAACGCCTCATCACCCTCCGTCCCTAGCATCTTCGTTCACTAATCCTATATGTCGGTACAAAAAGTGACCAACTAGTGAATATTTGTAATTTTGTTGTACGTTGTGATCGGATGTAGCCTAGCACTCAATGACACAGGATTTATACTGGTTCAAGCAACGTGCCCTACGTCCAGTTTGGATCGGTCGGTGACTTTATTCCTGAGCCCAGGTGCTCGAAGTCTGTAGTGGGGTTACAAACGAGAAGGAGAAAGGTAGGGTGTACGAGAGGCCCGGTCGGGTCCGACCGGAAGGGTCGAGGGCGACCGAAACTCCGCTATGAGCTAGGTGTTTAAGCGTTTGCTTGAGGGGTTGTGAGCTATCGATCTAGTGAATCTCAACTTGAAGAAGTCTACCTCCTTCGTTGGAGGGAGCGCATCCCCTTTTATAGATGAAGGGGGTGGCTTTACAGGTGAGAGGGGGAGAGTACGGATGTTACTAAGCCTTATTGCCCACACCGACGAGGACAGTGATGATGGTAGGCGCCCACAATACTGTCGATGTCACTGTAGAACGTCAGGTGCACATGGGAGGTTGCGTTGTCTTCTTGAGGAAGGGTAGATGTCGGTACCTGCAAAATACTGTTGGTATGTGAGGAGCCCTACCACGTGTACCAGGTATGGTGAATCCTGGTGCCCACAGTACTATCGATGCCCAGAGGCATGTGGGGGGCTTTTTGCCATATGGGAGTCCAACGGCGCCTACAATACTGTAGACACAAATGTCGGTGCCTATAATATTGTTTGTGTCAGGGCGGTTGTAGAGCACTGTTCCCGCAGGCGTACAGGGTATGGTCCCTGGTATCGTGGTTTGACTTGTGCGCTGTCTTCTACGTTCGCCCCTGGTCCCTTCCGAGCGGGCATCCCCGGTCGGATAGCCCCAGTCGGCCCTGTCCGCGCCAGTCGGAGAAGAGCGGCAAGCAGGCTTCCTACGGGTCCCCGGTCGGAGACACAGGGTCGGAGTAGGAAGCAGCGTTTTGAGCCAGGCCTTCCGATCAGAGAAACCGCCCGAAGGCGGCTGGTGTCCGAAGCGAGTGCTCCGGTCGGAGAGGCGGGCCGAAGAAGTTGACGGGCGGGCGCTTGTTCTTTCGGGTAGACCTTCCGGTCGGCGACCGGACTGTCCTTCCGGCCCATCGTGTTTTAAACTCTTGGGCCGGCCCATAAACTACATGATGTTTTCTTGAGCCGAGCCCTAGCGTGGAAGCCAACCCTCGAGGGACCCCGAATTTATGAACCGGGTCCCTGGCACTAGGCTTTTGATTAACCAGGCCGGCCTGCCACGGCACCCCCTATAAAAACCCGGCCAGCCTGCACACATGGCACAGCACAGCAACACATCTACCCTTGAAGTTGTAGCAGCTCTCACCTTCTCTCTTCAAGCTAGCAGCTCTTCGATCTTGCATTGTTGAAAGAGGTAGAAGGCAGGAGAAGAGGAGAGGTGGACTTCTGCAAAGGTAATTAATCCTTCAATGCACGCATGGCATGTGCTTGTAGTACGTACGCCCAGCACTGTTGCAATCTTATCCTATCTCTTGCATTATATTGGTGTGATGCGTCTTCTTGCAAGGTCCGGGTCTCGGTGCATGGTCTTGGTCTGTGTCAGTCAGTGGACACTGTCCCCACCACCCCCCGTGAGATAGATCTCTGATCGGGACGGTGCATCCAGGCAAGTTGTTATACCGTAGATAGCCAGCAAAAATACCCAACAGTATAACACTATTTTCCATATACATAAACTTCACCCCAAAGATAGCCAGAAGGGGGAAAAGGCATGGTTCCGTGCAACTGGGCAAGTGCAAGATCCCCTATTCCCCTGCCGTGGTCACCCACTCGGACACGGCCACGCCTTCCAGGCAACAGGCTATAAACTGCCGCCGTCGCCCCACACACTCACTCGTGCGCGTTTAGTTGGCGAAAAATTTTGGGTTTGGCTACTATATCATTTTTGTTTGTATTTAGCAATTAGTGTCTAATTATGGACTAATTAGGTTCGAAAGTTTCGTTTCGCGATTTCTCACCTAACTATGCAATTAATTTTTTTTCGTCCATATTTAATGCTCTATGTATATGCCATAAGATTCGATGTAACACTTTGGGGTGAAAATTTTTAAAAAGTAAACAGGGCCTCACTTCACCGGCTAGCCAACCACGAGCCAGTGGAGTGGTAGCCTATAGCCTATAGCTAGCTCAGTGAGTGCTGGAGTCGTCGCCCGCCTCTGAATTCCACGCTGAGTCTTCCTGCGCGCTTCCTTCTACGTCCACCTTGTTTAGCTGCCCAAAGTTGGCGTCGTCGGAATCACTATAGCGTACTATAGTATTTCGTTTGATAATAATTGTCCAATCGTTGACTAATTAGGCTCAAAACATTCGTCTCGCAAAGTACAACCAAACTGTGTAATTAGTTTTTGATTTCATCAACATTTAGTACTCCATGCATGTACCGTAAGTTTGATATGATGGAGAATCTTCTTTTTACATAATGGTAAAGTTTGGATTTTGGAGTAACTAAAGACACCCGTCGTCTAATTCCGTGTCTTTCAGCACGTTCTAGATCGCTCGTCTTGTCGATCGGTCGCTGTATAAATTGCTGCGTAAGTCACGTTGCTGAGCACTTCATCTAGAGCACCGGTGTTGTAGTCTCACTGTTCAGGCGTTGTATTTGTAACTCGTGCAGATAGGGGAGAACGGTACCGGTGTGCCCGCCAAGCACTACTACCCGGCGGCGGCCATGGAGGTGACCTCGGTGGAGCTCGGTCACACGGCGGCCTCTAAGTGCTATGACGACGACGGTCGCCTCAAGCGCACCGGTAAGGAGAGCTAGCTAGCGGCCTGGCAACAAGCGGCCAGCTGTACATGCTACGCCTGCCTGCCGTGCTTCTTCTTGATCAAAATAGATGCAGAAAGCTGATGGTCTGTCATGAAGGGACGATGTGGACGGCGAGCGCGCACATTATCACGGCCGTGATAGGGTCCGGGGTGCTGTCGCTGGCGTGGGCCATCGCGCAGCTCGGCTGGGTGGCCGGCCCCGCCGTCATGCTGCTCTTCTCCTTCGTCACCTACTACACGTCGGCGCTGCTCGCCGACTGCTACCGCTCCGGCGACGCGTGCACCGGCAACCGCAACTACACCTACATGGACGCGGTTAACGCCAATCTCAGTACGTGCGAAAACCCCCGCGCACGCATGCGCCATTCTTCGCTGTACTCCGCCGCCGTTGGCCCGTTGGCCGTTGCAGAGCAAGAGCTGATGATTCTCGTTGTTTCTCCTTCCCTGCTGTCGGTCGTTTCGTCGAGCAGGTGGCATCAAGGTGCAGCTCTGCGGGTTCCTGCAGTACGCGAACATCGTCGGAGTCGCCATCGGCTACACCATTGCCGCCTCCATTAGCATGCTGTGAGTATATAGAAAAAAGACCACGAGAACCGACCGCACGTTCCGAGCCGAGCTGAGCTCAGCTTAATTTGGTGACGTGACGAACTGACGTGTGCTGCTGGCTGCTGCGTGTACATCCACAGGGCGATCAAGAGGGCGAACTGCTTCCACGTGGAGGGGCACGGGGACCCGTGCAATATCTCCAGCACGCCGTACAAGCTCAACCTGTTCCGGCTGATGTGGCCAACGGCGTTCGTGGTGGCCACGACCGTGGTGTCCATATTGCTGCCCTTCTTCAACGACGTGGTCGGGCTCCTGGGCGCGCTCGGCTTCTGGCCGCTCACCGTCTACTTCCCCGTGGAGATGTACATCGTGCAGAAGAAGGTGCCCAGGTGGAGCACGCGGTGGGTGTGCCTGCAGCTGCTCAGCCTCGCCTGCCTCATCACCACCGTTGCCTCCGCCGCGGGCTCCGTCGCCGGAATCATCTCTGACCTCAAAGTGTACAAACCGTTCGTCACCACCTACTGATGACTGATCGATCGTTCGGTGCAGTCAAAACATTTGCATGCACAGATGATTAATTGGCGCCTAGTATGTGCCGTCTTTAATTAAACTAGGCATTAATTAATTACTATCACACGGTAAGAAAAGGGAAAGAAAAAGGTGATTATTAAAAAAAAAACTAATAGGGTCGAAACCCCGGCCATATGAGATGGCTTAATGCTGTGCACACGGGGATTCGAAGTGGTTGCTTGCTCAACTCTAACACGAGCTAGCCAACAATGGTATGGTACGGTGTTCTAGTGATGCGTAGCTTGTATCGCTGATTTACCGTGTCCTTGCTAATTTCCATTGTTTGTGATCTGGTTGACTGAAAATGCTAGTGAATTAAGAGAAATCAAATAGTAGTAGTGTGCGTTCCCAAGCCAAATGCATTATTAAAGTTATCAGTACAGAACTCATGTAAAGTGTGTGTGTTCCAATCCAGAATTGTGTTCATAAGGGGAAAAACATGCTTGTTCCTACGAGACTCTACAACAATTTCTTACATGCCATGGTTACAGAATTTGAGGCTATGACCTATTTCTTCGTGGTATTTAAGGGCAAATTTTCAGCATCCATCATTTCTTATGCTAGAGCTTAAATAGACATATAAAGATTATTGAAAGCTAGGGTATATTTGGTTGTTGCCCTGACATACATCTGTCAGATAAGAAATTCTGGCCAGTACGTACTCAAAATCAATGGTTTGGATTGCTGCTTGGCCAGACAAACTTGCCCGGTACAAGCAACCTAGATTGTGTGGCCTTTCAGGTATTGCCTGACCAAACAATTGATCAAGGTCCTAGGCATCTAAAATCGGACGTCTGGAAGCGCTATCTAACCGAGATAACTTCGCCATACCTCTATACAAACAGGCCAAATATTTGGACGTTCATGGGTCTCCCAAGTGATCAAGCAAGTCCCAACTAGCAAAACAGGAGGAGCATCGTCTGCAGTGCAGTGCAGCAAAGGAAAAAGGATGGCTCACGCTAGACGCCAACGCCAGAGTTTGTGAACCGAATACAAAATGATCCCAGTACAGGGTGCATCTGCAAACAAAAAAAGAAAAGAAAAAGGCACGGAAAGAAGCTACTTTTAGTCCCTCCACAATGTACTAATGAAGCCAGAAAATGGGTGGACCTAGATACAACAAAACAAGCATCACTCAGTAAAGGCTGCAATGTGCAAAGAAACATAGAAGCGGTGCTATCTAGAGATCTCGGATCCACAGTGCAATATCCACAATCTGTTGCATTGGCTGATGAGTTCAATGTCAACTGTTGCTACAGTAGAACAATGTTATTTTAAGAAAGTGGGAGCGGAGCAAGAACGTTCATCGCTCCTGGTTTCTTTGGCATCACTCAGAGATAGCATCACTTGTCACAGCGTTGCCAGTGGTTCTTATTTGCTCTCTCTCCAAACTTGGCATCACTCAAGGCATACATTGCAGAAGGCCTTAGAGCCCGTCCCTTCGGTTATGCCGTTCCTGGTCCTTGCTGGCCAGGAACAGTCCCATACTATAGAAAATAATGAAGAAACGGAGAGGACAGGAATGGATGTGGTCAGAAATTATTGTAACCGAACTAGGCTTTAGGCTTTGTTCGGTTACTCAGTATGCCTCCTGTAATCAATCCAGGTGATCAAAATTTATATAAATTATACGAGTAAACCGGGTAGGAATGATTTCAGTTCCTCTTGAAACGAACGGGCGCTTATGAATTTACACTCCCCGGTAAGCTAGGCTCCTCTGCTACACGGCAACCGGCTCGGTTGGTCCCGGGCTCCCGGCGAGCACGAGCCGGACGGAACTGGACGTGACTCGTGACTCGTGAGTGACAGTTCCTGTGTGATCCAAACGAGATAACGTCGAGAGGCACGCCCACAACCAGGGCAGGGCAGCGCAATGGCGCGACGGCGACACGACGGAGAGGCACCGGTACGTTCCGCGGCGGCGTTGCGGCCACACGCCCGCCCACGCACATCCGCGGAGGAGGCGACGAGAAAGCCCCCCGAAAGGCAGAACGACGACGACGGAGGCACTAGAACGTTTCGCCTTTCGCGGCAGTAACATACATCTCGCTTTCTTCTTTTGTCGCTCACTCAGTAAAGTAAATTTTGCTCCAAGGGCACGTACCCTCGTATTGTGAACTAGAAGATTCGCGCTTCGATTCGTGTCCAGCGGGAAAGAGACGCGCACTCGCCCTCGGCCCTGCTAGTGCATGACTTCCGCGGCAGCAAGCAGCCAGGCACGTTCCACGCGGGCTGGAAAGACCCGACCGGCGGCCGGGGCCAGCAGCCGGCGAGGCTCCAGGAGGGTAGGCGAAAGGGGCGCGGAGATCTCCTCGTGCCGCCGTGTCAGCATCGGAGGATCCCCTGGGGCCTGGGCCGGGAGCCTGGGACGCGACGTGGCCTGAGCCTGAACAACCCCGGCCACCACGACTGGTCGGATGGATCACACGGCGCCTCCGCTCCGCCCCTGCTTTTTGCCCTCCTTTGCTGATTAGATTAGACGACGGAAGGAAAGTACGGACGCCGCATTACGGTCGAGCTTTCTCGGTTGCTAACTAATAATGGCGCCAACGGTGGCGGCAAAGGGAAGGTTCCCTGAAGAATCTCCAAGGATTCCTCCCCTCCTGTCGGCTCGGCTCCACCTCCACTACAAGGCTACAAGCCTACAACCAACTTGTACAATAATCCACTCTCTTTGACGCGTGGCTCTCACTCTCAGAGTGATCCGGCGCGGTGGCGCATTGCTGGTCCCGGGGGCCCGGCCGCTCTGCTCCTCTGCCGTCGCCGTCGCCGTCGCCCGGGGATTAACAACAGCAGAAATATCATGTCCGCCTCCGATCCAGTCTGGAAAGAGCGGCGGCCGTGGAGCTGGAGCGTAGCCAGTGGCCGTGCGCTGGAGCGCGGGAATGTTCGTTCGCACGCGGCTGTTGGAGTGTTGGTTGCCTGCTGCCCTGGTTCCTTGAATCCTTGTACGTCCGACATGTGCCGATGCCGTTCTGGATGGCCTCTGGGAGTAGGACTGCGACGGTGAGGTCCTGCTTGGCGGGCTCAAGTTGTTACCAGGTCAAGCAATCGCTCAAAAGACGGTGCATATATTCCGAAGGAGGTGGACGAGATCGATGGAGCGGGATGCTGCGATCGATTGGGAATTCCCTGCGATCGCGTTCAGTTGGCACTTGGCGGTTGCTGTTGGGACAAGAGTTCTAAACTCCGGCTGCCTCAACCCCCAAGGACTGCAATTGCAAACAAGAGGGCATGCCCCTACTGGAATTTTATTGAAAACTAACACAGGGAACTACTCCCTCCGTCACCAAATAAATCAAATCCTAAAATCCGTGCCGGTCAAACTTTTTTAAGTTTAACTAACTTGATATAAAAGAATAACGACATCTATGACATGAAAATATATTCTACAGTAAATCTAATGATGCTAATTTCATACCATAAATCTTAATGTTTTTTTCATGCAAATTCAGTCAAAGATTAAAGAGTTTGACTTAAGACAACTCTAGAAATTTATTTATTCAGAGACAGAGGAAGTACAAACGTTTGGAGAGTCAAATTATAAGAGACAAAGAAAGAGGTAAAGAAGATAAACCAAGCTAATGAGATCACTGGATCACACCACACACAACAAGAAAAATAGTTACATTAATGGTTGGATAAGTGGATTCCAGTAATCAACAGCACCTGTATGAGCGGAAGCTAAGAGCGGGAGCAGCTAGTATTACAGAATAATACAGAGCCACTGATGAGTGGGCCAGGCGACCAGCTGAGCTAGCTAGTACGGAAAAAGCATCAAGATGTTGGCACTCCTGTCCTGCCTGGTAGGGCAGCCTATATGGTTCAGTGCTTTGCTCTTGATGTGAAACCTTAAACCAGGGCCAGAGAATGTGCGCTCACACACATGCGTGGCGAACAAAAGCACAAAGATGAGACTCAACTCAACATCAGCAGAAGCATTATGACCGCCGCGAAATAAAGCTCAAAAGTGCTGGTTCGTTTGGGTTTGTTTGGCTAAGCAGTGTTTTTTTAGCCAACGAATAATATTTTTCTCTCACACTAAATCAGCCAACAATACTTTCAGCCATGGCTTATCAGCCACACCAGCCCAAACAAAGCGATGGAATGGATTGGCCTGCATTATTTTGGCCGGGAAAGCGAGAGGCGAGAGCTAGCTAGAAGCCTAGCCCAGGTGGGACAGGAACAGCATCGGATATATGCATTTATGCGTGCGTGTAACAATCAACGTAACTGGGAATAATCCGGAGCTGGAACTAATCGGGGACGGCGAGGGATCGATTAACCGTTTGCGTTGTCCCCTTCTTATCCCATCATCAGTACAGGATGCGTTGCTTGCAGCTTCCTGTTTGCTTTTGACGGATGGTGTTTACACGCTATTCCGGCACTGTTTTCTACTGTGAGATGCGATGCGATGAGGGTTGGAGACTTGGAGGGCATGCATGCATTATTGGATGCGCTAGTAGTAGATATATGCTGCAATGTGCTGAAAGAGAGCGGCTTCAGGGTACGATCGACGTACTACATTGTGAACTGAAAATGTGTGGAGTATCTGTTGCTCCAAAACAGATTTTTGTGACTCATCGGCAAATGGTGCGGTGGTTCTTCTACAGATGACAGAACGATGTCTATGTATTGGTCTACCTATACAAGGGTAGGAATCAAACTTGTCCCTTTTATACCTTGGAGAGGCGTACACGATTTTTTAAGGAGAGTTCACCTCCTTTTTTTTTATTTCTAGATAGACTCAGAATCATTGGTAAGATCTGGTGCCTTTATACTTTATTTATCCGATCACAATTATAAGTTAGGTGTGTGTGTGTGTGTGTATTGAAATATGTATATTTTATTAAAATATTATTCGTAATGAATCAAATGACGTAAAAACTGTGTTGTCAACCCTATATAAAATTTTGGGTCAAATCTATTTTTAACCCCTAACTCATACGGAAGTTTGTTTTCATCTCCAAACTACAAAGCTGGGTATAAGACTTCCTCCAACTATCAAAATAGGACGAATTTTGTGTATCAAATCAAACCACCACAAGCCCTTGGAACCTGAATGAGCTATGGTTGAATACTAAAAAAACAACAAGAGATACTCCATTCCTCCCGTTTCCATGGCCCAATCAGCCCATTTAATCTTGTTCTGATCTAGGCCATGGGCTTGGTCCATCGCGCAAACAAACATAATAATACAAGCAATATATGACCCTAGCCCATCTCCTCCCTTTTGAAAGGACCCTGGGCCATCTCCTATCCGGTAACCACAATGACGATGAGTAGGTGAGAGACGTCGCGGCCCGGTCCGTAGGTGGAAATACATATACCACCATCGCCGAAAAACTCCTCAATATCACACAGTATGGTCATGGTTTCAAGCATGAAGCATCGCATCCTATATAGTGCCCGTAGGGCCGTAGGTGGATATAGATGCAGTGGCGGATCCAAAGGGGGCTGGGGGGCTCCAGCCCCCCTGATGTCTTGATTTCAAGTCTAATCACTGTAGCAAAAGCTTGATTTCACCATTAAATCTTCATGCAAATCAACATCTTCATTGTTTTAGCCTCCCCTTATCCCGCATCGTGCATCCGCCACTGTATAGATGTACCACCATCGCCCCAAAACTCCTCAACATGGTCATGGTTTCAAATATCACATCCTGAGAGGTGGTGTGTCGCATGCGTGTGATGCCAATTTGCCATACTCCCACGCCCTCTTGCAAATTGCAATGAGATACCACCGTCACTGCCTATTATCTATCATCGCCACGTTTTACAGTCGACAAGTGTATCTGCAAGTTTATGAGGTTGTCTCTAACAGAGACCTATCGTGGAACCCAAATTGAAAATATGTTTCCAACATAATAACTATAGCCTCCAACAGAGTACCTATATGAAAGACTAATTTTAGGTGTCAGGAGAGGCATAACCCAAATTCTAAGTATTCTCTCTCCTGGAGATCTATTTACAGAAAGGATCGTCATTTGGGTCTGGTTGTTGAAGAAGATTAAAAATATGTATTAATTTTTTTTGCTTGTAGCGCTACCCAAAAGACAAATAAATCTTGTATTTTGAGTCGCGTTTTGGAAGACGGTCTGAGGTCGTGGGTAATATGCATGTATTGGCTACAGGATCATCTTGCACAAGGATAAGAAAGTCCGGCCTCCAAGGCATTGCACGGCACAGATTATTGTTGCATTTGCAAAAAGAACCGGACATACACGGCGCCGCACCGGGCAAACGAACGCTTCGTCGTCTGTGTCTCCAATAGTCCAATCCTAACACGACTTGGCCACGAGCCGGAGGGGCACCCGCCTGGGCGTGGCCAGCCCGGGCGCGTCCGACATGTCAAGGTCCCCCGGCGCCGCGCCGCCCGGCAGCGCCCAGTCGAACAGTCCCACCAGGTTAGCCAGGGCGAGCTCCACGGTGGCCAGCCCGAACTGCATCCCGGGGCAGACCCGGCGCCCGGCCCCGAACGGGACGAACTGGAAGTGCGCGCCCCGGAAGTCCACCGCCTCGCTCTCGCCGCTATCCAAGAACCTCTCGGGGCGGAACTCGTCGGGCGCGCTCCACGACGCCGGGTCGCGGCCCACGGCCCAGGCGTTGACGAACACGCGGGTGCCCCGCGCCACGTGGAAGCCCAGCACGGTCGTGTCGCGCATGCACTCGCGGGGCAGGAGCAGCGGCACGGGCGGGTGGAGACGGAGGGCCTCCTTCACCACGGCCCGCAGATACGGCGGAGGCGTCGTCGTCGTCGTCGCGCCAAGCGCGTCGTCGCATCCAGCGGCCACGGTGCCGCTGCCGGCCGCCGATGTGCGGACTTCGCTCTTGAGCCGCTCCATGGCCGCGGGGTTCCTCACCAGCTCCGACATGGCCCACTCCAGCGTGATGAAGGACGTCTCGGTCCCGGCCGCGAACATGTCCGCCAGCAAAGACTTGATGGCGTCCCTGGTGAGCTCGAACCCGTCGTCCAGATTCTCCTCCGCCTGCAGCGCCAGCAGCACGTCCACGAAATCCTCCTCCTCGCCGTCGCTGCCGTCACCATGGCGGCGCCGCGCCTCGTGCTCCTGGACCACCTTCTCCAGCAACTCGTCCCACCGCTTGAAGTTCCTCCACGCCCTCGCGCCGGCGCCGGACAGCGCGTCCGCCCACGCCAGCGACGGGAAGTAGTCCCCGACGCAGAACCCGCCCAGCAGCGCCGTGTTCTCCTCGATCAGCGCCCGGAACAGCTCGCTCCTCCTGCCCTCCTCCTCCCGGGACAGCCTCCCGGTCCCGGACACCGCCCGACAGATCACGCCGTTCGCGAAGCCGTACAGCGCCTTGCTCAGGTCCACCACGCCCGCGGGCGAGGAGGACGCGCGCTCCCGGATGGTCCGCACCAGCGCGGCGACCTCCCGCTCCCGCATGCCGTTGAAGCTGTGTGACCGCACGGCGCTGAGCACGTGCGCGGAGCAGAGGCGGCGCACGTGCCGCCAGTGCTCGCCGTGGGGCGCGAACACAAGGTCCTGGAACCCGTACGTCAGGATCTCGGCCGTGCGGAAGTAAGGCCGCGTGCCGAAGGCGCCGTCGTGCTCGCGCATGAGCGCCGCGGCGGCGGCCGGGGAGGAGGCCACCACCGCGGGTACCTGGCCCAGGCGGAGCCGCATCAGGTCGGGCGCGGCGTGCGTCGTGGCGAGCGCGCGCAGGGAGCGGTGGGGGAGAGCACCCACCTGGTGCAGGTTCCCGATCAGAGGCAATCCCGGGGGAGATGGAGGGAGGCGAGGTGCGTTCCGGCCGGCGGCCCAGACCTTGGTGAGGAAGAAGAAACCAAGGAGGAAAGGGAGGAGGAGAAGCAGGGAAGAGAGCTCCATGGTTCGATCAGCTTGTTGCAAGAACGCTTCACCCTGGCACTCGGCTCTGTACTAGCTGAATTGTGGAAGATTAGTGAGCTACTAGAACAGATCCTTATACAGCATTGTTTTTTTTTTTTTGGAAAATGGTGTTCTTGCCCTTACACAGATGTGCAATTGTGATTTTGCCCTCGTTTTTCTAACTTTATGATTTTGCCCTTAACTGTTCAAAGTCAACGTGATTTTACTTCTGGTCAACGTGAATTTGCCCCTGTTTTTTCCGTTGACCAGGGGCAAAATCACGTTACTTGTGAACAGTTAAGGGCAAAATCACAAAGTTAAAAAAACAAAGACAAAATCACAATTGCACATCAAAGTAGGGGCAAGAACACAAGAGCTCCTTTTTTTTTTAAACATCGATAGAATATTTTCATTTTAAAAAACAATATTGACTTCTTTTTTCTCTCTTTGAATATTAATTTATTGGGTATTTATCGAGGTGCATGTGCATCATAAAAAAACTTATACTGCTTTTGGACCAAAGAGGTTGAATGAAGACTTGGCTGACCAATCTGGCTCCAGTCTCCAACTCAATATGAAAGTGAGACATCGCTCTTGTTTTGGATGGTGGTGATCTTGCGTTTTGGACAACTCTACTTCTATTTTATATGGATAAACAGCCTGAAACCTGAATGTTGTAGCTATAGGTGACCGGCGACGGAAGGTAAAAGGCATTGTCTTCGTTTTACATTTATACTGAAATAAAAACGCAAATGAACAAAAATGGGTAATTCTATTGTTTGACTATACGGCACCTGACACCACAACTGACTAATTCGACAATATGCCGAATTTGGCACCTGACGCCGCAACTGACTAATTCGACAATATGCCGAACTTTGCTCTTGGACACAAATTCACAGGGCAGTTAAGCGATGGATTCACATATGTGCGTCCAACTATACGGGTCATTTAATGGCAAAGCAATGAAGGCTGAAACAGCCACATATTGTCAAGTGTTCAGATAAAACCGGTTTATGGTTAATGGCATGATGTGCTTGTTCAATTCTTCCTGTATTCTGAGAACTGTGTTGAATGAATACAGCAATTCAAGATAATAACCTATATGGCTCACCGCGATATACATATAATCCAAAACTTGGATTCTTGGTCATCCTGGTGATCTTACCCGGATAAGTATAACTGATATAATCGTCAAAATTCTGTACCAATGCCTCAGAAATTACAAGGGGGGAGCCGAGCTGTTACCTTTTTGAATCCTACAGTTAAAACCTACGCTGTGTATCAAACTGAGTGAATGGAGGGTTATTTTTCCCTTCCCATGTATATATGACGGCTGCTGGGTATAAACCTTGAAGCGAAATGATTTGAGTGCACTTGCAACTCTCAGCATGACGTCATGATGAACGAAATGAATCTGTAGCCCTTGGCGACCTGAGCGGAATACCATCAGCAGCAGATCTGAGAGGAATTCCTTCAGCTGCATAGCCATCCTCATCCGCATGTTTAGGAAGCCGAATCGGTAGATTTGATGGGAGACCTGTGATGCAAACCGATAAGACATTATGAACATGAGTAGTTTTACAGGCCAAGAGGAATGTAAATGTAGACATACCATCCACCATATCCTTTGTCTTGTGAAGAAGAAAAGTCCCAGAAAGGATTGTAACAAAGCCACACATCTCCGTTACAATTTGCGTTGGATTTTGACGATCCCAGTCCTGCATGCAATCAACAACAACAACAACATAGCCTTTCAGTTCCAAGCAAGTTGGGGTAGGCTAGAGTTGAAACCCACCAAGAGCCCCAAGTGGTTCATGTACATAATTACATATTAAAATAGTACCAAAGCATTGTGAGGGGGGGTTCGCTGGTGCACTATGACAGTTCATCTTATGTAGCAATGTTTCCTACTTCCTCCGTCCTAAATTATAAGACGTTTTGGCATTTCTAGATTCATATCTTTTATTATTTATCTAGACATAACATATATCTATGTGCGTAGCAAAAGCTATGAATCTAGAAAAGCCAAAACGTCTTATAATTTGGAACGGAGGGAGTACTATGCTTTCTCGAGAATGTGTTCGACACTGATACTATCATGGCTGATACATCTGACAGGTCTCCAGTCTTAAACTCTTCGCTGTTTACTAATACCGTATACCGACTTAACAGATTTTAGATTTTCCTTTTTCATGATGGATAGAAAGTTTAATGGGGGAAAAACTGAGATTTTAAATGTTCCGTGTCACAAATCACAACAATTTTGCAAATATTAAGTATTTACTTAAGTTTAATCTAGTGTGTTGAATTGTATCATCAATGCGCAATGATGAAAATGCCTGACATTAAAACCAGCAGCTGACTCATTCAAAGTAAAGATTAATATACATTGTACTGATTGAAATCTTCAGACTATGCAGGATTAGTAAATGAATTTAGTATGAATAATTCAGAGTTTGGTGCAGAATTGTGTAAACAAACACATTTAAGGTCAGAAGAATCGGTCACCTTGAACATTATTACACTAGCCAAGATGGTCAAGGATGTAAACATGGTGTAATATATGGGCGAAACAACTGCAGTGTTGAATGTGTCAAGGGCCTGCAAAATTTAATTTTGGTAAGTCAACAAAATCGTAGGACAGAAGAAAAATGCATAAGGTATCCAAATAGCAAATATTTTTTATATGATCTAACCACTAAGAAAAACCTTCTCTCTTGGCACAACTACAGGTTACTGTACATTGGCATAGCGTTGATCATACCTTGTTCAGATAGTTCATCTGCGTTACAATGCATGAGATTACAACAAATGAGAACACCCATGTTTGTGGATAGACTAGCTGGTTCATCCCTGAAAATGTAAGCTTCAAGGCTATCCCAAGAGCTTTGACACTCATGACCTGCCAAACCAAGACGAATACATAAGGAGAGCATTTATTTCCTAGCACCTCGAGAATAGCTATGTGAATTCACATGAAAATAACTGTTAGTCATGAGAAGCTTACCGATAAAGATCCGACAAGAGAACATATGCCAATATATACCATGATATGTGTCTGACCATACTGAGGGACAAAATGGAATATGAGCACAAAAGATGCTGCAAGCACAACAGCTGCATAGAATAGGAATGCTGCAGGACACAATTTGAACCTTAGTACCTGATAAATTAGTATGCTGATGATAGTCAAGGAGAAATGTCTAACAAACCAGTATGTTTTGACTCACGAGGTACCAAATTCAGGAGAAAGCGCAGTACCTGGTTCGGTAGCAAGATCCCACACTTCTGCCACGGACTCAATTTGACGCTCTAGAGGGGCATGAAGCACAATTGTTGTTGAACCCACCACACAAAGAATACAGCCAAGTATACCAAATATATGAAGTTTCTCCCGCAACATAATATGGGCAAGAACAGCACTGAACGAGACATGCTAAAATTATAAGATTTGTAGAAACCTAAACGATAAAAGATGTTATTGGAGATCACATATTAGTCTAATCCTCACCTGATAATTATGCTAAGTGCACCAAGTGGAGTGACCAAGATAGCAGGAGCAAATGCATAAGCTGCAAAGTTAGCGATTTCGCCAACAATCACTGAAATGGAGTACGGATATCATTAGTACGAAATAATGGAACAAGGTTAATATGCTAGAACCCTATTCATATCAGAAGGAAGAGACGCACTTGTTATCATTCCTGCCCACCACAGTGGCTCAAGCAAGTACGAGTAGCCACCAACACCTGATGGAAATCAGAAAGGAAAGCAAAAGTAATGAGGAAATACACAATGTTGCAACCCATCTAGCAAGGTAGAAGCAAAATAGGCTATGCAGGAGTTACATAATTCACTAGCTATTGACAGAGGCTGATTGTACGTGGTTGACTGAGCATCAATGGAAGTATTCAAGTCTTGAGTGGCACAAGTCGACAAAACGGATATTCACATATCTTTTGCAATGGATAATATGCCTTCCTTTGAACATTCCCATTCGTGCCATTTCCATATGCGCATGACATTTTCAACTACGTCAAAGCATCATGGAAGCAATAGGAACTACAAGTAACTAATTCAGCAGCATTAGCCAAAATGCATCGCCCAACCACCAACGTGTCAGCAATCAACTGTGCTGCTACTGCTAGTGATCTTCTGGGATCAATGCCGAGTAAGCAACTACTGATTGAAGTACATTTCAAGTTTCAACAAAGCAGCTCCCAACATCACACGACCTAAAACTATCACCACCGTGCCACCTCACTGCTTAAGCCCCAAGTCCTAACTGCGCTCCGACCCACCGACACCGCCACTGAGATCCAAGGATCTCAGATCTAAGCGGCAAGCCCAGCACGCCAGCAGCGCAACAGCAGCGAACGGAAGCATAGTCGAATCCTGCTACAAAAGCATAGTCCCAAGCAGAGGCAGAGGCAGAGCTGCCCAAAGGACCCTCACCTGCTCGGACGCCGGACGCGCCGGCCTTCTTGAGCCCCTTCTTCTTGACGATGAAGCTGGCACCGATGAAGAGGCTGGAGGAGAGCGCGAGCAGCAGGCCCTTGATGTTGTCCGTCGACATCCCCGTGTAGGACTCCACCCATCTCCCCACCAGCTGCGCTCCCCCCATTACGCCGCCGGCCAGCACTCAGGGTCAGGGCCCCTCACTAACTCCTCGCCCTCCGCCGTTGGGCGCGGCGGCGGCCCCGCGCATGCGAGATCCGGAGGCGAAGAGAGAGGGAGGGGGGGAGTGGCTCGGTTGCGTTGCGCGGTCCCCCGCGTGGTCGCTCGCTCTCCTCTGCTGGTGGCTCGGCAGCTTTACGTCGCCCGCGTGGGCTTCCGGTTGCTGCGCCGTGGTGAGCTGTGGCGGAGAAGCTAGGCTAGCAACCGTATGGAGCGCGGCTGTTGTGCGGGGAAGGGTAGACGGGCGACGACGACGGCGTCGTCGACAGGATGCGGGCGGAGCGAGCCAGCGAGGGGCCGGGTGCCCGGGTCCGCGAGGCGTGGGTGTTTGTGTTTCCTGGCCTTGGACACGCCGCTCGGCGCTTGGGCCCGTGCCCTGTGGCTGTGGTGGGGTAGGGAGGTGTGGGCGTGGTTGGTCGCGTGCGCCGTGGCCGGCTACCGGGGTGGTTTGGCTGCCTTGCCCTGGCCGTGCCGCACCGCCGTGGGGTTTTTTTTTTTTTTTTGTCCTTTGGATTGGAAGCCGGGACCCGGTGGGTTTGAAAGGCCTTTTTGGCACTTTTGTCCGCTCCGCGTCTCCGCGAGACCGCGACGTCAGGCAGCACCGATGGGAGGACCGGAGGAGCCGTGAGCGATTTCTCAGAAGAAGTGAAGTGTTATGATCCAATTGCACGGTGTCGTGAGGACCCCACACTTTCCTTTGTAATTAAGGAATAGCTTTTTTTGGTAGGCATAAAGCATATATCATGATATGATAACTACAGTATTTGCTATTTTTAAAATTGGATTGAAAATAGATTTATTTTAGCTGCCATGTCGCAGCATTGGAAGTTGGAACTCTCGCCGGATGGCTTGAGTTGATTTTTATTCCTTCTAGCTCCTTTTTCCCCCTTACTTTAATTCGCCGACCACGATGAGAAGCTCATCCTCACTTGGGTGACGCTTTCGATGTCGGAACACGGTGCCCGAGTTGCTAATCACATTCAGCGTATCGTCAGCCACAACTATGTTGATGGCGTGTGGTATCCTAATCAGTCTCACCTATCTTCTTCGATCTTCTTTGGAACATGAATTTTTTTTCTTATTCTAATGTTTTTTTTGTTGATCTAACTTTTTCACGGTTTCAACTTTTGTTAGTTTTTTTCTTTTTAAATGTGAAATTCTTGTGTTCTAAATATATTTTTGATGGTTTTGGACACTTCTAGAGATCATCATTCTAAAGTCAACCTACACGAAAAACCTCTTAACGCTAATCTCTACTACCAAGGGCATGTATAACATATTGGTGTGAGTCAACTACGTCTCATGACTTTTGCAACTAAAAAAACTCACGCGCAACATCCGGGGCGAGGTTGTTGCCTTGTGAGGCGACGACGACAGCTCGTGCTCCTAGGTGTACTTGTCGTCTGGATTGTCATCTCCAAGGATGAGGCCCGGGCTCCAGCATACACGAGAATCCACAGCCTGTTCGTTTGGATGTGGCTTATCGTAAACGATCGTAAATTTTTAGCAGGAACAGTATTTTTCTCTCACACAAACCAGCCAGCAATACTTCTTCACGAACCAGCAACGATACGAACCAGCCAACCGAACAGGCTGCCAAAATGTGTGCTAAAATCTCAACCCTCCCCCCCCCTTGCGCATGAGCACACCCCAAATATCAAAGAACGGTGACGACAGTTTACCTGGATAGGGAGGCGGGCGGTGCAGCCCCCACATATACCGCACTGTCATCAACAAGTAGGAGTAGCGAGGTGAGCCGGGACGAGGAGGCGAGCGGTGCGTAGGGACCCATCACCGAGCTCCAAGAAACCGTCGGCCTTCACCATAGGGCTGGATTATGCGGGATTCGAGATGCATTCCTACAATCTCTACCTCTAAGGAGGTAATATCTCGAATCAATCTGAGCCATTGATTTTTGGCAAAATTTGCTACCGGACATGCCAAGTGACCCATCTTTGCTAGCGGACATGCAAAATTTGGCGATTTGCTGGTGGACACTCTGGTTCCTTACAAATTTGCTGGTGGACACCGAACCGAATAAAATATTCATTTCCGGGCTTTCGAGGAGAGAGAAGCACGGGAAATGTCCTTTCTGCCCCTGGCTGTTTCTTCTACCTTGGTCTCCTTCCTCTGGCCACGGCGGCGCGGGGCCCACGCATGGTAAAACTGTGATCACTGGGCTTGACTTCAGCTGATGTGGCATTTGACGGCTACGTGGCGCGATAGGATTGGCTCATATAGGTGATTGGGCCTCACCTTTGACTGGTTGACCGGTGGTCAACATAGGATCTGAACTGCCCATCTCAGATCGGACGGTCGTGGTTCGCTGCCTTCGTGTCCAGAAAGACAGAAGCAACGGCGATGGTTCGGCTTGGAGCTCCGGCAAGGACAGGGGAAGGTGCTGTGGCTTTGAATCGAGGCCTTTGAGGGGTTGGGCGGACGTGCCATGCCACTGCGGTTCCAATGGAGGAAACGGGGTGGCGAAAGGAGGTGTGCATAGGGAGATCGATGATCTCGAGCTGTGGTCGGCCATGGCGGCGGCGGCGATTCGAGGCACTGGAGCAAGAGAGGAGGCTCGAGGAGGGAAGGAGTGGTGGCGGCATCCGATCGCGGTGCCGGTGCTTCCCTTAAATAGGGCGGGGAGGGGAAGGATGGCCGGGTTGCGGAACTTAAAAGCCGGTCATCAATGGCGGCCGCGGTGGCAAGTGTGGTCGCTGCGGTGCGGGAGGGAGCTCGGGAGGGCGAGGCAGACGCAGTGAGCAGAGAGGAGTCCGAGGGCGCTCTTTATAGGGGCGGAGGAGAGGAGGAGAGAGCCGGGTCGTGAGCTTCACGTGCAGGCCGTCAATGGCGCCGCAACTCTGACACGGCGCGTGTGGGATGAACAGATCGAGCGAGGGCGGGTGCGGCTGGCGGGTGTAGGCTCGGTCCACACGGGTGCGATGGACGCGGGGAGGAAGCCTGGGTGGCCGCGCCGCCCCAGCAGCAGCAGCCACGGTGGGCATGCCGGTGGTGGCCCTGCTTGGCCATGGTGTTGCTCGGAGGGGGAGGGAGGAGGAAGGACGCGGTGCGGCTCGGAGGAGGGGCGCAGCCATCGTCGACGGTGGCGCTGTGGGGCCGAGGTGCTGCTCGGAGAGGGAGAAGGGAGGACGCGGTGCTGCTCGGAGCAGATGGGGAAGAAGAAAGAGGTGTAGAAGAAAGGGGCAAAGGGCAGGGGCAAATTGGACATTTTATCGTCCTTCTCTCTCCACAACAGCTAGAAATTAATATTTTATTAGATGGGGTGTCCACCAGCAAATTTGTAAGAAACCAGAGTGTCCACCAGCAAATCGTCAAATTTTGCATATCCGCTAGTAAAGAGGGGTCACTTGGCATGTCCGGTAGCAAATTTTGCCTTGATTTTTTTGATTTTATGATTTACTTAATCAATTAAAAATTTTAGAAAAACAAAGATGTATTTTCTTGTCGCAACGTCTTGAAGTTAAGAACAAGCTCCTATTGTGATCATCCTAGCATGTTGTTGTTGGTTAAATCATGTTACCTATTATTTTTGGGCAATGCTACGGTGTAAATTTTACTTCCTAGGAGGTAATACCTCAAATGAATCTCAGTCATTGATTTTCTAGATTTTTTGAATTAATAAATTAATTAATCTAAGAAAAGAAAAAGGAACATTGTTAAATCACCTCATCACGGGAGACAAGCAAGGGCACACGGTCCCTTCCTTTTCTGTGGGCATCGTTCCCTTTGCCCCTTTGCATGAAAAATACATTACATATTCAGTTATAAAATAAGATACATCTATGAAAGAAATCAATAACCAACATATATATTAACTGATCTGTGAACTTTAGCGATCTAAAAAATATGTTACAAAATACAAACTCGATTAAAACTATATTACATAATCGAGTAGCTTTCTAATAAACTATATAGTTGTTACGTATATTGAGCACGTAAAGTGGCTATGTATAGTTTCGTATGCACCTAAAATTTCTTGTACTTTGGACATGTACGTTGGGTACTTATGCACATAAATTTCACGTATGGTTCAGGTACTCACACGTTCATTGCCTCATTGGACACGCATATATGCAAGATTGTGCATGACGAGGAGACCGGGATATCTGTCAAATCACACATGCATCGATCAAATCTAGAAAAGATTTTTCTATATCTAAAATATTCCCTATTTAGCTTTTTTATAAAATGAAAAATTCAATAAACGTCCTCGAATTAAATGAACGGCTCACAATCATTTGGGTGTACCGTAGCAAAGGCCATTAATTTTTTAGACGAAAGAATAATTATATTAAATTATAGCTGAGTACATCATTATGTTATGAGCACTCTGCATTACAATATGTATACCTAGAAACTGTTTTTCATCTGCATTGTACCCACGCATTGTATAGCTCCAAATCTCAATCCCAAACCTATATGACGATTCGTATGGATGACCATACAGGTAAACACTCGGCAAAATGCCTGAGAATAGATGCCCAACGAACGACAGCTAACATTCCTCCAGGCGGAGTTGACAAACTTGTTCTTTGCTGGGTTAATAATAGACATCGATCTTTCTCTTGACGGTGCCATGTAATAATTGTACCCTGCTTTCCTCAGAAGAATATTTTTTTTGGGTGGTGTTTGCAAATTGATGGGAGTGTAAGAAGGCTTATTATGCCAATGTTATTCATGGGACAATATATTTCGCATAGTAGCCATCTACCGTTAAATACTCAGCTGCCGCCAAACTTAAAGTTTGAGAGCATAAATTGACCATTAGAATTGTGCCATCCTACTTTTCCCAATCCAGACAATATAGGTGAGTAATATGTGAAGTGTAAGGCTATTGTCTCTTCTTTACACCATCTTCAGGCACCACTGGTGTGCCCTTTGCCTACCGAATCACCACAAATCCATACGAACAGATTTTTAAAGTCTTGT